TAGAAAAATTGGTTGATTTTTTGCAACAAAAAAAACTTATGACATTCAAAAACTTTGTTTATGTGGTCAAACAATGGTTGTGCAAAAGTTTGAACCTTGTCAAGTATACTTTATATATTTAACATTTTTATTATTATTTACACAGAACATATATCCCTTGTATCTTTAAACTACGGTATAAAGAATTCTTAATCCTAATCCTAAACTTTAGGATTAGTACAAGGGATAATCTGTTTTTGTTTACTTTTTTTTTATATATAATCTTATTTATAAAACTCTATTTAAACAGATTTTTTGAAGACTAATTATTTTTTATGAATGTGGTATAAATTTGAATGGTATATATATATACTTTTTTTTATTTAAGTAAAAACATATCTGGCGATGCAATACTTGCAAAAAAGCGAAGTCAGGTCGAGAAGGATTTTTTGAAAGCTCTACATCTTTAAGTGTAAGTCTGATACTTCAATTAATGTTTTTATGAGTTCTGGAGGTTCCTGTAACCGCTTCATCTCATGTAGTAGGTTTAAATGAAAAAACCTCAATTCAGTGGTATCAATATTTCCGGGATATTTGTTCATTTAAAACTATGGATGTTGCTGCTGTAAATTAAGTGGTGCAGGGCTTATTGTAGAGATAGATGAATTTTTATTTATGTAGAACACAAAATTTACGTTGCAAAAACTATAAGAAGATAAGCCACAAACAGGGCCGACGACACGGGTTTCAAAGTGTTTAAAAAGATTTGTTAGGAAAAGAAGATACCTTTAGAAGATCGATAAAAGAAGATAACTAAAGTAAAAAGAGGATACGTTCAAAAAAAAAGTGAAGAAGCAAACATGTTAAGTTATGTAGGCTTTTTCTACTTTTTTCACCTATTTTAGCGCCCATTCTGTAAAATACCAAAATACGAATTCCGAGAAATATCGTTCCGACATCTTACGAACGAGTTTGGGGTGCACTGTGTACAGGTCCGCCAACCGCTCGCCTTTAGTTTTTTATTTTCCACGCTGTAATAGTTTAATATCTTGATTTGGGACTAATTGCATTTTTCAGAACGACGAATGAAAGGCAATTTAATTCAGTGTTTTAAAATATACAAAAAATAAAATGAAGTCAGGTAAATACGATTTAAATGTAAATACGACTGTTTTTGTCGCTCCTCGAGATTACAATCTACTATAGCTGAGTCTCGTTAGATTTTCAGTTTGTAAAAACTAACTACTTCTATTGTAGAATATTTATAATATTAATATTACATAAAACACCAAAAATTCAGATATTATATTACAAAGGACATAAAACGAAACAATAGTATAAAAAATAGTTTTTTTTTTAGACCTTGTAGCCTAAATCAAATTTTAAAATACCGTATAAGAATTCCTTAAAACCGCCAAATCAGGTTTACTTAATTCAGGAAAATTGACCTTAAACTCTCCTATAACTTTAATCGAGTTCTTAGCAATTTTATCTCGAATACTATTATAAGGTTGGCGCTCTGAACTGTTTATACTATATATAAATTTTTTTAAACTGTCAATCATAAAATACGCGTAACAATTATATCTAACAAACGCCTATATTCAAGTCAAATTTTAAAAAGTTTTAAAGTTACTTCTTTTAGATTATTCAAAAGAGTTGCTCTTTTTGGCGGTATTGTAGTTCCGCCCTCTTATCAGTGGCGGAACTACCATACCGCCATGCCCCGCAATGCGGGGGGAGAAGCTGAGCTGTAGGGTGCCCATATTTTTTGAAGGAATTGTAGTGTTTAAAAAATTTTGTCAATTTTAAAAAGTTCAATCCTGTATTAAAGTAACGTCTGACCAAAAATCGAAAAAAATAAAATATAAAACAACAACAAACTGATCAAAAACAGTAACTACAAAAATGTAAAAAAATACCTCTTTGGGGACCTAAAAAGTATTTTGCAGGGGGCACAAAATTTGAAGTTCTGCCACTGCCTCTTATCGCTTTTTTTGTTATCACAAGTAAGTTATTGTAAGTAAAGTATATAAGTTATCATACTGTTAAAGGCTGTTAGTGGAACATAAAATGCTGCAACTTAAATTTATTAACAAAAAAAATTTCAGTGAAATTTCACTGAAAGATTAGAATTTAAATACATTGTAAGGTTGTAGAACTGTGAACTCAATCTTTATATGGTATTGTAAGATACATGCATGTTTTGTAATCTATAAAACAAATACAAATATTATTTTTTGTTTTCGGGATGACTTTATATAAATAAAGGTTAAATTATATATTTTTTTAATTTTCAAATCCTAACTCATTTTTTCGGTATATAAAACATGGTTATTTAATTATAACCTTTTTTAAAAAACGTTGAAATACTTTTCAAGCAACTTGGCTTTTCAAATTTTAGTTGAATAAATTTAAATGTTTGAAATTTAAGTTGAATAAATTTAAATTTTCAGCAGTCCGTATATATGTTTATATAGGTCTGCTGCAAATCCACAACAAAAATGTTCGCCAAGTTATTAATTGTATTTTTTTTTTTTTTTTTTTTTTTTTGACAATATGATTATGAAGATTATTAGTGATACTCTTGTGAGATAACTTAAGATTATTTGGATTACTGTTTTAAAAACAAGATGATTAGGTGTAGATCTTGATAACATGGTATTATAAAATAGTACCATGTTATTATTTTCTACACCTAATTATCACAGAACTGAACAAGTTTAATGCATCACAAGATTTTGTTAACCACTGCGCTATGGCTGCTGTATTGACAATTGATTTGTTTATAATTTATCTTTACATTTTAGTATATGATAATATATCGAGGATTGATATATGAATAAGATACAATTTGTCCAAGACAAGACCGAGACAAAAAATAAGCAGACTTTTAGATACCTCAGCACAATAAATAACTTAGTTGAATTTAATTTAAGCACCATTTATTAGGCTTTATTTTATATTTGTGTGGGATAACCCACCTAATAACTTTACAGGTTTTACCTCGTTTACTAGTTCAATGTTATAATTATTTAGGCTGGTATGCCTGTCGAATTGTACGTTTGCAGGTATAACTACAACTTCTGAATTGCCATTCATTGTTTTGCGGTCAAAACCATGCTCCGTATTTCTATTGTTAAGTTTATGTTGCTTTAAAAGGTCCGTAAAATTATCTAGGTTAATTTCGTTAGAACTATTTTTTTCAACTAAGTTTGAAGTTAGAATGTTTAGACTTCTTATATCATTATTAGTGTTTTTAATGTCAAGATGAGAGGTTTTCAACTCTTGAGAAACTGATTCTTTTCTAGGTGCAGTTTTTTCCAAAGACACCACTTCTTTTGATGATGTAAATTTTTCTAATCTTTTTGATGGAATCAAACGGTTTTGTCCGTAAAGAGTATTTAACATCTCTTTTCTACTTTTAGTTGATCTTCTTGTAACAGGGGGTCCTTCGTAGTTTTCCGGGTTAAAACTGCGATCAAAATATGAGTTTGAAAAAGTTTCAAAAGAATTTTCTTTAACCTTTTTTTGCTCTTGAAAGTCCAATATCTTTGATTCATCATTATTGGATATATTTTTTGCGCTTCCAGATTGTAATGAGTTTTCAGTATTTAACAATTTAAAATTCGTATTTATTGACGTATTTACTGACTTATCTATTGATTCCGTATTTACTGAGTTCTTATTCAAAAAAGTAGTATTTTGTAAAAATTCATTATTTGGCGGATGCAAATGTTTCATATTGGATTTATTTGTTTTTAAATGATCATTAGATTGAAAACCTGAATCTTTGTAAAGTTTACTTGGAAGAACATGGTGTTTTTGTATAAACGGAATATTATTTTGTAAAAACAGTTCTTTGAACATGATTCCTGAATTTCTTTTTTTCAAACTGGTGCTTATTGGTACTTCATTAAAAGAATCTGAGGCGTTATCGTAAGAAATAATTTGCCGACCCAACATTCGACTTTTTTCTCTTTGACCTAATAAATACGTTTCATTAGAGTGGAAATTGGCTTCAATGTTGTTTAAATGGGCTGAATTTTTGTTTAATATAAGTTTGTTAGCATTTAATTTTAATAAGTTTGCTTGTTCATTTTCCATTTTTCGATTGTTAAATTTCAAAACCATTGCTGAATCTACTGATGAATCGATTTTCTCAAAATCTTTTAAATAATTTTCATTTAAATCTGTGCTAGATTTAAAGAGATTTGAAACAACACTACCATATGCACCACTACCATATTCAACACTACCATATGTAACACTACCATACGACTTTTGTTCTAAATTTTTGTGCAAAGATTTGCTTTCTTTTACTTTTTCAAATTCATCTCTTATATATTTAACCCTAGAAGAACTGTCTTTATCAGATGATTCACTTATGTTAATAACAAAAACTTCGGGATTTACTTTTTGTATGGACTTTTTTGCGACATTATAAGAACCTCGAGAGTGAATATTAAATTTGTCCATAGCTTTTAGATTTTCATTTTGGAATACTTCTCTCATGGTTTTTTTTATATTTGCATAGTATAACATAAGCTTTTCTCTGTTTAATGGTTTATTATCTTTATAAAAACTTTCTTGATTATTATTGAAACTATTTAAACTGTTTTTGTTTTTGTTTGCATTGCTTTTATAGTCAAATGATAATGCTTTAAGTTCCGATGTCAACATGTTGTTGTCAGTTATAACACTCTTGTGCCGGAATGTTTTATTAGTTTTGTTGTGAACTTCAGGAAAGTTTAACTCCGAATCATGTACCGATAACTTGCTTATACTTTTTAACTTTCTGTCTGTAACATTTAACTCGTAGGATCTATCTGAAGCAGCGTTTGAAGCACTTAGTGACCTGTTTAAAGCAGAGTTTGAAGCATCCAATGATGTATTTGAAGTACTCAAAAATCTGTTTCGAGAAAAGTTGTTTATTGGTATTCCTTTTACACTATCTTCTAGTTTTGTGCTTTTTTTTCCTTTAGCTATTTCAGATGTTAAAGGTGATTTTTGGAATAATTCTTTTGAATATGAGGGGCTTTTCTTTCTGGCTAATTGAGGTGCAACAACGCTATTGACTGAATGATAATGATGAATCATTTCTTCTATAACTTCGTAATCTTTTAGTTGGTCTTCTTCAAAGCTGACTTTAGATCTTGGATCTTTATTTTGGTCATTAAAATATTTATTTACACGTAACTCTGAAAGATTGGATTTAGAATGTTTTAATTCTAAAAACTCGTTTTCTACTTGCTCTTCTTCTTCACCTGATGGTATGGCAACAATTTTTTTAAATTTTTTTCTTTCAGTATTAAACTTATTTGATGAAAACTGCTTAACGTTATTGTTTGTAACTATGTCGTATACTGGAGATATATTTTTTGTTGACTCATAATCTAAATCACTATGTTTTTCTACATCAAACATAAACATCTCATCAATTTCAATATCTAAACTATGACCTGGAGTTACTTCAGTTATTTCAAAAGAATTGTTTGAATTTTCGGGACTATTTTCACGCAAGTAGTTGGACAATTTTTTTTGAGAAAACTGATCAACAGGTAATGATTGTGTAGAAAGAAAGGAATTTCTTTTAATAGAAGTACCTTTTCCAAATCGATTTTGTAACGTTTGATCAGCAGATAACTTACCGGTGGCAGGTAGCTTTGTAACATTCTCTTTACTAACATAAGAAAATGACTGGATGGGATTTTTCTCTTCTTCTTCTTTTGCGATATTAAAACTTTCAAACACTGGAATTTTTTGTTGGTTCAATTTAACTCTTTTTTCAGGATTGAAACTTTGTGCATCAACCTTATGAGATTCTTTACTTGAATTTTGAAAACCATTTGTTGAAAGATTTTCTGTTTCGCGTACAATATTTCCGTCTTCGAGATTAATCTAAAAAATTTTAGTTTAGAATTCAAATTTTAAGTACTAAACTATTTTTGAAAGAATAGATGACACCAAAAGATTCAAAAGATTTCATCAAAAAAAGAAGCACAACTACTTTAAGTTTGTATGACAAAAAAATAATAGTTTTAACTTACATCATTTACTGCAGAGTTTTGAGAACGACGTCTAAAAACAGAAAAAATGTGCTTTAATAAAATGTTTTGTTTTTAGAAAAAAAAAACTTGTTAATAATTTTTGTTATATTTCTCATGATAGTAGAGAAAGAGAGCCTAAATACGTAAATATAGTAGAGATAAACCTATATACGTATCTGTGTATCATTAAATGTTGATTACGTGAAACTTAGTTTATAATCAAATCAAAAAAGCAATAAAATTACATACTTATTGGAGAGGTTCCTTAACGTGTGAAAATTGGGTTTAATGTTTAAAATATTTGCTTTTAAAACTTTTGGTAGGTATGTATATACACATTTTGCAAATCAAATATGCCAAATTTTAAAATGCTCAAAATGTCTTTATAATGCAATATATATCTTTTTTGTATAAGAGTATTTGTTTTTACAGAGATGCAATTAAAACATTATTTATGGTTATTGTATTGATGTGAATAAATACAGTTACAATAACTATTGTATTGTTGTTTTTTTCTAACAATACACTAAAGTTCTAAAACCATTGTATTATATTGCTATGATGTAAAACAATAACAGTAACTATTGTATTGTATTGCTGTGATAAATAACAATTACAATAAGTACAGTGATGTATTATATTATTATTTCAAAGTCTAATAGCTATTGTATTTTATAGTATTTAGGTTCTTTTTTCACGCATTTATTATTATTAGGGCACTAGATAATTTAGCGGTGCCCGTGACGCTCGTTTTCAGCAGTCATTTATGTATATAAATTTTATTTATTTTAAGAAGTGAAGTGAAGCCAAAGGAAAGCCAAAGAAGTGTTACGTATACGTATAAAGGGATAATAAATATTAGGATCAGAAGCGCACGTGGCACCCGTCTCTAGCCATTACCGGATCAAGGAGGGGGGGGGAAGCTAGGGGGACTTTAGCCCCGGGCCCCGTAAATTTAGGGCCCCAAAAAAATTTTAGAGGACCATTTTTTTTTTTTTCTTATAGTCATTTTTAGGCTCTGGCCCATAAAAAGGCCTTCAAAAACAAAAATAGCCCCGGGCCCCAAGAAGTCTTAATCCGCCACTGTTTCAAGCAACAATTAACATATATAAATTTTATTTATTTTGAGTTCAATAATATAACTGTTTAAATAATAACTTATTTAGAATTAACATTATTTTTATTCATTCAAAATCATACAAATTTATAATTTATTATATGCTTGTATTTAAATAATTATTTAATTTAATAAGTGAAATTTTTTATTTTTTTATAATTTTGTCTAAATTGATATTGACAAGTTTCACCGGATGATGACGTCTAAACTAATTGATTGACTACATTAAGCCCGTGAAAATAATTTTTTTTTTTTCAACATATCTAACCGTTAATTAAATCATTATGGAATCAGAGAAACATTGACCTGGGTAATTATCGATTAAACTTAACCTTTCAAATTTATTTATGTTTTTGTTGTTTTAATATGCGTTGTTGTTTTTTTTACTTTTTTATTTTTTGCTCCTTAATAATATGTTTTATTTATCACTTTACGAATTTTACGTTTGTTTATTTTATATTGTCAACGGAAATGCTTATTTTTAAATTAAACTTTATATTTACGGAATTTATCAAGGGACTTGGCGATAAGACATATTAGTCTTCTTCTCGCCCCTGCTACATATATATCTTGTTATTAAGAAACAGTCTGTATATATTAACACGGCAAAAAAAAAAAAGTACATATATAATAATTATAAAAAAAAAAATTGTCTAAAAATGTGAACTACTTTTGTTTTGTTAAAAAATTTTCTATATTTTTAGATTGTTCATCATCTATCAGACCTTACCAATAAATTTTGTGTGGATCATTTTTGAAAAATGAGGCAGTTCAGAATACCAGTTAAATATTCTTCTTGATTTATCTAACAAAACTCTTTTATAACTTTGCAACTAGATGTCCAGTTACTTTATGAAATTTATTATGAAACACATACAGCTATAAAACCGAAGGGAAACAAAAGACAAATTTATATTAGAGTAAGTGTGAGTTAAGTAAGCTTCGAAACATTTGGATAGGTGCCTAATGTAAAAGCAAATGACTTAGTGGAAGAAATGGTAGCAATTAATTATGCCTATCCCCAGCAGTAAAAGAAATACAGACCCGATTAAACTCACTTTTATAGAGCTATATAAAGTTTGCAATGAGGGCAAGTAATATTCAGTAAATAAAAAAGAAACAGAATCAATACTTATGTATTAGTTGTACCCTATTTCAAGGTCACTTATCTCGGAGACTGGACTGTTAAAACATTTATTAAATTTTGACACTAAAATAATTTTTACAATAGTTGTAAATCACAAGTCTTGTTATAGTTTCTAAATTAAGTTAATACAATAACAATAGTTATTGTTACTTTTATTATTTTCATTACAATTATAATAGTACTAATTCTACTACTAAATGCTTGTTAGTGAAGAAAATATATTTAACATGTTTTTTTACATAAATAAAAAAAATCTAGCAAGTATAGTATTTTTTTAAAAGCCTCATAAACTGAGGCTCAAGAGTGGATCCTTTTACAAAAGATAATTTGGGTGTAATAAACTATGAGGTCAGCGTTCAAAGTTTTGAATGTGTTTTTATTTTTTATTACTCTTTTTTTTATTTTTAGTTTATTTACTTTTTGTCTTGCTATAGGGGTAAGACAAAAAGTAAGGAAAATAAAAATAGAAAAAGACTGATAAAAGAAAAACACATCAAAAACTTTGAACACTGACCTCAGAGTTTATGTGTAGTAATTTTATCAGAGTAGTTATAAATAAAACTTTAGAAAGCACACGGTTTTCTAGAAAGCACACGGTTTTCTAGAAAGCACACGGTTTTCTAGAAAGCACACGGTTTTCTAGAAAGCACACGGTTTTCTAGAAAGCACACGGTGTTCTTTGGTTTTGTTTTAAAACTACTGTAATAAAAATATGGTGTCCCTTTTTTTTTGCAAACATAATTTGATAAAAAAAAGAACATATTTTTATCAGAATTGTTCTAAAATATAAACCTAACACACGCAAAAAAACACTTATAAAGCAATTGCATCAGAGTTGTTTTTTACACTAATTCACTACTAACAAAGTTTCATGCTACCATCAATTAAGTTAGGAGTTAACAGAAAACTAATTAGAGAGTTAAACAAATAAGTCTTCTTTCACAGAAGACAATAGATGATAAAAAGGCAATTCCGATGCACCAACCTTTGAGAAAAAAATACCTCATGAAAAGTTTATTAAGCTTGAAAGAACAATTACAATAAAAGAATATAACTTAGTTAGGTGACGAGTTACGCAAGTTTTATTTTGTGATTTAAATAAATTTATCGTTTAATATCTCACAATCGTAGCATTGACAAGGTTAGTAGCAGTTCCATACAAGAACGAATAAGAGATATATTTAGATTATAGAGATAGAAGATAAAATATAGAGTAAAAAGTATAGCAATAACAATAAAAAGAAACAACCAGATACTAAACAAATCAAATGCTAACTTTCTAATAGATTCTTTATATAGTTTCCATGAAAATTCAATTGTAAATGATATTCTAAGATATTCTTTTTTTCATATGTATATTATATATATATTTTTTGACGTATTTGTATAAAACATTTTTTCTCCGCGTTTCAAATTGTTTTGCATTGAATTTTGACCTTCAAAATGGGTTTATCAGTTTAGAAAAAACATACTTAATTATTTAGTTTAGTCATTTTTTGTAACCATTAAAAAAAATTTAATTTTTTTATTTTCTCCCTTTCTAAAGTGTCAACTTTGAACTTAATTACATTTAGCACCATCCAACAGTAAGCTTAGATACGTCTTTAACATTTCTAAAATACCCCTTACTATATTTGTTACTAAAAATAACTTTAAAATTTTAATAAATAAAACAATAAAATAATACTTACTGGATTACATTTTTTTCTTTTCTTCTTGAACAAAAGCATATATACACCAGAATGAATACAACAATCACTAATGTACCAATACACGCGCTCGACAAAACAGCGATAACAATGCTTGATTTTGCATCGTTTATTATGGCTCCATTCGATACCGGTAACGAAGTTAAGATTAATGTTATATTAAGTACACTGTTGGTACTTACATTAATGTCCGATTTTAATGTAGAAATTGTTGTTGCTTTTGTTGTTGTTGATGTTGTTGTTGTTGACATAGAGTCGTCTTTATTAAACGACATTGATGACAGAGGAACTGTTGAAAAAAATAAATGAAAACTCCATTAAAATGTTAATAATAATTTTAAAATAGTATTTTGATTTTTATGTTTTGACATTACTTTTCATTTAGTTTGATTTAAGTTCAAACAAAAAACAGGTAATAGAACTAAAAATTGGTTTCTACTAACAGAAAAGTTTCCGCGAATCGAAAACTTTCGAATCACTTAAAATAAAAAAGCCGCATTTTAAATTGTTTTGTTTGATAATTAGATTATTTTTTCAATTCCGCAAAAAATATCCTGTTAAAGGAAATTAGAGTTAAAACTACAAAGCTGAAGTTGATTTTCATTTATAAAACTATGCTCTTTTTTAAAGAGTTTTATTATTTGTTTGTTAGTAGCTTTTTGTGTTTTGTGGAGTTTAACCTTCTATTCAATAAACAATAATTTCATTGCATTTTTAACTGTCATGTTTAATTATATATAGCTGCAAACAAAATATCTAGAAGAGTAAAAAACCATTTATTTGAATTGTAAGCAGCTTATAAGCTCAATTTTTTTTTTTTTTTAATGTTGATTTTAGGTGTTCCAAGAAGTCCTTACGATCTTATCACAGAGCACCGCGGAAGAGCATTTAATAGGAAGTTCACGCCTCCTTCCCAACCGATGTCACAAAACTTGCCCAGAGGTGGGGTTTGAACCACGGATCTTACGTTTCTGAGGCAAGTGTGCTACCACTGCGCCACGGCTGCAATTGAGTAAGAAACATATAAATTAATTTGATTGTACCTTATTAATTTATTGTAGTTTTGGTATGAGAGTGCTTTTTAGTATTCAGTATAATATTCATTCTCGAATGCCAGGAAATAATAAAATCAAAATATTAGATAGTAAAATAATAAAATCAAAATATTAGATAGTAAAATAATAAAATAGAAATATTAGAAGTAATATAATGAAGATTTAGGATTCGAAAAAACGTATACCTAATATTTATTTGTTAATTGGCTCACTTTTTCACAGAAGTTGAGCAGACATAGTTAAATAGTGATTAAACTTAATAGTTTCGTTAGAATCTTTATTTCCAAGATTCGTAGTCTGCTATGCCCAAAAAAGAGAAACCATAAGAAACATAACGGAATCTTTTTATTAAATGCTTTTTATCGTGCTCTTTGAAAAATTAGGTTTAACAGCACCCTTATAACCAGGAGAAAAACAAGTTGAACCATTATAGCATTTCAATAAAAAGCAGCTATACAAAATGTTTAAAGAAAAAATATTAATTATCTAAAAATTTATTTACACTGTATGATAAACTGCTAAAGGATTTGTGAATGTCTTTGGAAGTTTTGAGTGATGTGAAACCTACGATTGTTTATATCAATGGTATTATCAATCAATTAAATACTTAATCCATATTTTCCGAATTTGTAAAATAAAAATTGAGTTCTTATTGTCTCTCACAAATTCTCTCTTACTAATTATTATTAAAGTTTCTTATTGGGTTAAAAGAAAAAAACAGCTTAACTTAATATTTTGATTGTTTGAGAAAACTACAAGCTAACCGCGCATGGAATCAAGATGAAGTTATTTGATATGTTCAAAACTTATGATTAAAGATGCTCGTATGTGAGAGAACAAAGAGTGATTGCTGCAATGCATGAAAAAACAGGTGGAACTAATTTATGCAATTTTTTTCAGAAAACTGTTTATTTGGTTTATGACACATTCTTTGAAGGTAAGCAAGATGTCAAAGTCGAGCCATTACTACAAGCGATGTTCTCTCTGGATGTTCATAGAAAATTTTAAATTACAATATTTTGTCTAAAAATGAAGTTTAAAATCTCTAAAGAAGAAAACTTTTCAAGTAAAAGTTTATAATGTATTGAATCCACGACTACGACTGTCAAGGTTGATACCATAATCGAAGTTATTTGGTAGATTTGTGACCATTTGATATAATGCTCAGTATGAATTCCAAGTTTAGGAGCAGTTTAGGAATCGCAAATTTGGGCAGCTATTAAGGTTTTCCCATTTTAAATTAAAGATAAAGTTTTCATAATGGATATTAAGAGGACAAATCATGAAACTTGATGAATCATGAATCGGTGAGTCATTTACCATGTGTGATTGGTTACGAGTTGTTTGTCATCTATTAAAAACAAGAGTTTGTAGTATGACGAAATCTTTACTTTATAAAAATATTATAATAATACTTTAATAACAATATAAATAATAATATTCATAGTAATCTTTTAAATTTGTTTTTCAAATTATAAGTGATTCAACATATATATTGTTTTACATAGGTCACAATGTTTTATTTCAATACTTTCACAGAACCCAATTAAAAGTAATAGACAAATTTTTTATTTTATCTTAAGCGTTTTTAAACATTATTGAAACAACTAAAAAGGAAGTTTTGAATTATTAGCAATGAAAAGTGTTTGTACTTATTAGATATTATTGTTCAAACCGCCGAGTATATAGAGTATATCGCTTATATAATGGTTGAGACTGTATTTCGAGCACTATTTAAACGTTTAAAAAATAATTTTTCAAGTACCTAGTATAGAATCTTTAAAAGATTTACCTTAAGTGCTAATATAATTTATTTTCTTAAATATTTTGCAATTTGGAAGATCATTTTTTATAATGATTGATAAGGTATATGTTCATACCTGTTAAATTACATATTAAAAAAATCTATGTTCATGCTTAGGGTTACCTAGAGAAGCTTTCCAAAACACTCCTTGCTGTAGTGGTAATATATTTATTTGCAGGACTTTTAATTGTTGTCATTATGATACCAGTGTCTAACTTAGATTATGATTTCCAATGTTATTGCTAATGTAATTGAATCTATTAAACAGTGCACTGAAAAAGTTGTTTCCATAATTTGCGATAACAATCACGTAAATAGACAAGTTTTTATAGCTTTTGATACCATTTCTTTTTAACCCTAAAGAGCTAAAAACAAACAATTTTTTGTTATATGGTTATGTCTACTAAAGGTGCGCAATAAATAATGTACCGATAAGACTAAAGAAATTTCAAGTTAAGAATTTAGTCGCTGATTGGAATGATCTTGAGAAACTGAGATCATTTAAATTTTATCACCTTATCTCTTTATCTCTTCTGAGATTAAGGTTTTTACAGTTAAACTTATACATCACATTACCTCTTGTGAATGTGAATGAGTCTCTTCTCTTGTGAACATTGTACCAATATACCGCAAATAAAAATGGCTTTGACGTGGAAACATCAATGAAATTTGATAGTACTCCACCAGAACTCCAGATTTCACCTACTGAGTAAGAATAAATTCAAAAGTAGCGTGTAAAATTTTAAGAAGAAAAAGCGTGCAGCTAATTAAAACAGCTTATGAAATGTGAATTTCAGGAACAATAAATTTGCAACATAAAGTACCACTAGCTGAAAAAATGATAATTAAAAACGTATCATTTTTAGATGTTCAAAACTAAAAATATGAGGAGTTTCTGTGATTAAGTTGAATAGTGCGTGTAACGTTTTACGCAAATATTAGTCAGCAACAGAAACAAAGGACGTTTTACAAGAATTTGTAGAAATGAGTTCGCAGCTGTGGTGTGTTGATTAGAGTACTGGCTTCAGAACATGAGGTTTAAAACTGTACTGTGTATGCATCATTGGTAAATAGGCCTATGATTTAAATGGTTTGGTGCTTATAAGTATAATTAAAATATCCGAAAGGAAATATTGAAGTGGTAGTCATAGAGAAAAAAAAATTAATAATTCCAAAATTAACCTGCTTTTTCCAACCAAAGTAAGTGAATTGTTTAAAGAAATGACACGCTAGAAAAAGGTAAATGTAACTGATGATGTAACTGATGATGTAACTGATGATGTAACTGATGATGTAACTGATGATGTAACTGATGATGTAACTAATGATGTAACTGATGATCTAATTATGATGTACCTGATGATGTAACTGATGATGTAACTGACGATGTAACTGATGATGTAACTGATGATGTAGATGACACGCTAGGAAAAGGTAAATGTAACTGATGATGTAACTTATGATGTAAATGATGATGTAACTGATGATGTAACTGATGATGTAACTGATGATGTAACTAATGATGTAACTGATGATCTAATTATGATGTACCTGATGATGTAACTGATGATGTAACTGACGATGTAACTGATGATGTAACTGATGATGTAGAACTAATTGAAGACCATACTGCTGAGAGCAACGTAGTTGCTGACAACTTAACAATGTTGAGAAATTTTCTTTACAATAGATTTCATCATTTTCAATTATACACAGGTTTTCTCGGTTTGAAAAATTGTATAATTTTTTTGAACAACAACTTGCTTGAAATTCTCCACCAATCGCTTGGAGTTTTTTTTTATGATATGCTTAAAATTTTCAAGATTTAAAATTTATTTCATTTTTAAAATTTTTTTATCCAGGTTTGGCTGTAAATAAGCTTTTTCGCAAGATCTTTTTGTGTCTGAATGGATTTAATGAAGCGACCATTAAATCCATCCAATTGATTGGTTGCTTTAAACAACAGGTTCGACCAATTAATTCTGCTTCGAGAGACTTTTCGAGTGATTGATTTTGCTTTATATTTATCTTTAAATCCTTTTTTTTTTCACTTGCTGTTTTTGACAGATATCTTTTTTATCGACGAAAAAAAATTTTTTATCGTTTCAATAGTGTCTTTTTTTTATCATCAAAAAATTTGTACAACGGAAGACTATACAATAAATACCGGTCAATTTTGAAATATTCATTTGTTACAAAAAAAGGGTTTTTAAGAACATTTTCCACGCAAAACAAAAGTATTTTTTAAAAACTACGTGTCCTTAAAAGCAGTAGTGGACCTGCCATTAGGCTGAGCAAGCTGAAGCCTAGGAAATAGTCTCAGCACCAAACTACAAACTAACGTTCGCCTGCGCTGCGCTAAGTAAAAAGATAATACAAAATAATCCAAACTAACCATCGCTGAAACTATTTTAGATAAAACTTTATAAAAAGCTGTAAACAGTGCAAACCGGGTGCAACCTCAGCAAAGAGTAGTAAAATAAAAAAGAGGCGTAAAAATTAATAGAGTTTAATGATTTTGTAATATTATTTGGAAATATATATAATATAAATCCAAAATACTTTTTAACACTAAAAGTCACTTTTAAAGGATCTAAGCACAGCCATATTTTTTTGCAAAAAAAAATTCTTATATTTTTTTGAAATTTATTTTGAAGGTTTGCTGCTTATGAAATAATTAAAAATATCCGAAAGGAAATATTGAAGTGGTAGTCAAAAAGAAAAAAGAAATTAACAATTCCAAAATTAACCTCCTTTTTCCAACCGAATTTTGTCAAAGTAAGTGAATTGTTCAAAAAAATGACATGCTAGGAAGAGGTAAATGTAACTGATGATGTAACTGATGATGTAACTGATGATCTAAGACTAATTGAAGATCATACTGCTCAAGGCAACGTAGTTACCAAATGCCGAGCCAAAAATCTTGTTCAGGGCAGAGATAAGGGCTGCATGCAAAAAAGAAATGAAATAATTATCTGAAATTACTGATATTATTGATGTGAGATTAAACTATAACAATATAGGATATTGGCCATAGTTAATTAGTTCTGAGCTAGTCAATTTTTGCTTAAACTGGCCATTTTTGTTTTTTCAAAATAAAAAGGAAATTGATTCATATCCTGAATCTAAGCAAAATTAAAAAGATCAAAGCAAACTTTTTTTAATAGTTTTTTTAGTAAATTCATGAAAAACGGTAAAATAGTTGTAAGATCCTGGTTTTGTTAGTCTTTATGCAAAGAAGTAGAATTATGTATACCATGCAAATTATTTCTCCATTCAAGAAATATTTCAGCGTTGGCATCAGAAAATAAATATTGTAAAAACATAAAAAAAATTTTGTTTCCTATGAAGAATCTGATGAAGAATCTGATGACTATAAAAGCCATAATAATCTACCTCACATGATAATAATCTACCTCACATGATAATAATCTACGTCACATGATAATAATCTACCTCACATGATAATAATCTACCTCACATGATAATAATCTACCTCACATGATAATAATCTACCTCACATGATAATAATCTACCTCACATGATAATAATCTACCTCACATGATAATAATCTACCTCACATGATAATAATCTACCTCACATAATAATCTACCTCACATAATAATCTACCTCACATGATAATCTACCTCACATGATAATAATCTACCTCACATGATAATAATCTACCTCACATGATAATAATCTACCTCACATGATAATAATCTACCTCACATGATAATAATCTACCTCACATGATAATAATCTACCTCACATGATAATAATCTACCTCACATGATAATAATCTACCTCACATGATAATAATCTACCTCACATGAAAATCGAATATGAGCAGGTATACAGTTAAAAAACAGGCTAAACTGCAAAATATTACTAAAGTATTTTTTAACGGGTAGTAGCAGCAAATAATTTATCTGAAAGAGGTTTGCCATTACGAGGTCATGACAAAAATTGGGGCTCTCCAAGCAATGGAAATTTTGTTTGCGTCATAGAACTTATTTCAGAATTCCATTTTTTCTTAAAGAAAATATAACATAGTGTCAAACTGGGACGATAAAATCTCCTACATACTTATCCAAAACTGCATATAAAGAGAAAGTGCAGCTCATGGAAAAAATATTTTAAAACAAATTATTAAGCAAATAAACAATGACGATACAAAATATTACATTGCTTATACAGATATTGTATAAGACATTGCTTATACAGATCAGCTGGCAATAATATTAGGATACTGTTATATCGAAAATCACACTAGCGAGACACTATATACAATAAATAATGCAGGTAATCCTATTCAAAACATCAGTGAACAACTATACGATTATGCGTCAAATATGTGTGGAATAATTCACTCAGTTTTGTTTTATATGAGTTCTTTTACGAAACATTTTACAATCGACTGATCGTAAATTGTTTCGTAATGATTATTTGTTTTCGCAATTTTTTACAATTATACAATAACGCCTCAAATGTATGTGGAAAATATAGAGACTTTCAAGCATGAATAAAAAAAAATGAATGCATTTACGGATTTTTACCCTTCTGTTGCGGATTTTTTTATACTTGGTTGGAGTAAAGACAATTTACGTTGTAATAGAAATAACAGAATATTTCGGAACTATTCAACACATTTACACATATTTCTCTGCATCCCAAAACCGTTGGAATATTTTGACAGCTTAAAAAATATTTGATAGCCTTAAATATGTATTTAATGAAGATCAGAAAAGGCAGAATATAAATTAAACGTAAAAGGCTTATATAAAAGATTTTCGAATCGGGACGGAATATTTTTAATTTGAGAAGGAAATCAAGATTCCGAGCCGAAATTAAAAGACTTTGAGAACAAAGCAACCAAAGTAAATACAGAAGTCGAAGAAAATTTAATGATACAAAATTATATTCGGATGGAAAAAAAGAAGAGATACTTTGACTGGAGAGGGTAAAAATATCTCTTTCAAAAATTCTAAATATCACAATCCGCCACAACCTAAAAGTATAATATTTAAGTAAAATTTAAGGTAACAAGTAACAGGCACTAAAAGCGTTTTATTTTTATCAGTATTATTTTTTTCAATAGTAGTACTTTGACAATCGTACTAATGATAAAAATAGTGAAATGGTTTCAAATATTTCAAATATTTAAATATTTAAAACAACAGTTGCGTTTGAGTTTGTTTTTTTAATATGACCTTTTTGTTTTAACTAGCTATTTTAGTATTTTGCTTTATTAATGTTTGCTTGTTGAGGTTTAACAGTATTTTAACAAGAACTAAAAATGAAAGCTGCGTTTCACCCACCCATTAATCCAAACAAACTAAAATAAATTTGGGTTACTGACAGACTTCATTAAAATATATATTTATGAGAGATTGTCAGTATATTTGAATGTCAATTGCTAAAATAAAATTTCTGAGGTCGTATAATGTGTTTTCAACCTTTTTAAAAATAAATAACTGGGTCACATTAGGCTCAACAAAATGTAGTATTTACAATTTGTTTGAAATTTAGCTAAAAATTTATTTTTGAAGTCCCATTTTGTTTTTGATTTAATCTCTTCTGACAAAAGCAGAGAAGTAGAAATATTAAACAGATTTAAAACAATTTACTTGTTTGTTAACAGTACTTTGTTGTTTGTTAACAGTACTTTGTTGTTTGTTAACAGTACTTTGTTGTTTGTTAACAGTACTTTGTTGTTTGTTAACAGTACTTTGTTGTTTGTTAACAGTACTTTGTTGTTTGTCAACAGTACTTTGTTGTTTGTTGACAGTACTTTGTTGTTTGTTAACAGTACTTTGTTGTTTGTTAACAGTACTTTGTTGTTTGTTAACAGTACTTTGTTGTTTGTTAACAGTACTTTGTTGTTTGTTAACAGTACTTTGTTGTTTGTTAACAGTACTTTGTTGTTTGTCAACAGTACTTTGTTGTTTGTTGACAGTACTTTGTTGTTTGTTAACAGTACTTTGTTGTTTGTTAACAGTACTTTGTTGTTTGTTAACAGTACTTTGTTGTTTGTTAACAGTACTTTGTTGTTTGTTAACAGTACTTTGTTGTTTGTTAACAGTACTTTGTTGTTTGTTAACAGTACTTTGTTTTAAATCTGCAAATTTAAAAATTTTGCCGATTTAAAACATACTACTCTTAACAAACGTAATCATTTTATAACACTCAAATTTAAAAATTTCTTCAAATAGATGTCACATGTATGAAAGTACAAATCTTTAATAATGAGCGGCCTAACTTTTTGATTTTTGTTGAAAACATTTTAAAACCTACTTTTTAAGTGTATTATACAGAACCAACTTTTTAAGTATATTATACAGAACCTACTTTTTAAGTGTATTATACATATATTATACTCTGCCGAACCTCAACATACAAGTAAATTATTAACGCTAAGTACTTTAATGCCTAGTTGTTATGAAGTTAACTTACGGGTTACTGATCCTTCGTATTTGATTAGAACACATCGTTGTTCATTGTCCGCATCACCTTCATTCTTACAGTTAACGTATAACTTAAGGAGAATTCCGTCCCAATGCTCTAATACAGTTAAGATTATCTAAATGAAACATTGCTTTACCTTGTCTCGCTGTAGAAGCAATATCGAATTAGTATTCTACTCCTGACAAACAAGATTAAGGTATTACTGTAGTAGTAGTTATTTTTGTTGATATTTAGATGTTAAAGTATCAAATAAAGATTCAGGACTTACCACACTATTTGAGATTTCCAAATGCATGCTTTTATTAATCATATCAACACCAGTATTATCGTTCCAAACTTCTTTATATATATTCATCGGATAATCTTGTAAAAGAATTTTACCTAATGACGGTTTGTAACTTGACATGCAAAATTGATTTTTTCCATTTTCTGGAATAATTTTCAGAGTAACAGTCTCGTTGTTTTTTGGAATAAATCCTACAACATCCGAGTCTTCAAAAAGTAGATAACAATCTAAATAATATTTTAAAAGTTGCAAAAAATGTTCATTACATTAATAAAACTTTTTTCATATAAAAATATTTTTAAATATAATTATACATAATTACATAATTTAATCTTATATATTTTCAATATTGAAAACTCATCATCATCACACATGTGACTCACATTGAGTATTTGTGACACTTTTTGTACAATTTTGCGCCTTTTTTTTATTTGCGCTTTTTCTTGCAACAACATTTCATGCCTTTTTTTGTCCATCATAGTTTTCAAAAAGTTACTTTCCATTACAGTTAAAAGTTACAGAAAATTTACTGGAAATGAAAAAAACAAATGGTATTGTGTTATATTACATTTGGTAAAGAAAATCTACATTGAAAGTGAAAATTCACATTATCATATTCTTATGAATATTCCGACTTAGTTATTAAAACGAAGTTTAAAAAATAAAATTTAAAATCAGTTAATTATCACCTGAATCACTAAATCCAGAACCGTTTTGTAAATTGTATGGGACTTAGGCAATATGTTGTCAGGGACTCCCTCTCAGGATCAGTGAAGTTATGCTACCCAAGACCAAATGTTTACTACATTTACAGCTTTTGATGTCAGATTATTCCAAATAGTTACAACTTGTTGGTAAAAACAATAATTGCGAATGTCGAGTTGACATTGTTGCTTGCGAATCCTATAAGTATGAACGCGGGTATATTTATTATTGGTAATTTCAAAAAGCGAACTTTATTTATGCAAACAAAATTATGCATAATTTTGAAACATAAAACTAAGTCTTGTTTTAAATGTCTGAGCTCCAGAGAATCAAAACCAAGCAGCTGTAAACGACTATAATAGCTTAAACACTTAAGATTAGCAATTTTTTTTGTGAATCTTTTTTGAATATTTTTAATAGACTTTATTAACATAATTTGGTGTGGCGATCAAACTGAAAAGAAATATTCAATAATTGGTTTTATATAAGTGGTAAATGCACGTATTATTATACTAGAATTGCGAGTTTTAAAACATTTTCAGATTAGCTATGCTCTAGTACTTGCTACATGAATAACTCTGGCAATGTGTTTTTGTAGTTTTGGCGAGAGTCCATATTTACCCCAAGTCCATAGTTACCCTTTTGGGTTAGATGACCAATCTAAAATACAATAACCTTAATTGAAATTAGATGGTGGTGCTTATTAGGGATATTCATTCTATTATTAATCTAGTTATAAATTTGCTAATGTTTTTTCCCTCTACTAGATTAACTCAATTTTCAATTGGTAATTATACAAGATTTTTTTGCAATTCTTGGCATACTGTGTGTAAGCTGATTTGTTATAAATGGTTTATTATTTCTCCATCTTTTCCGTATAGGTACAAGTTCATTAATACCAGTACCAAAAATCCTTAGAAAAATGCTCCAATCATCCTTAAAACTTGAAATCCCAATTTATTTTTGATGAATATAACTCGAGACCCTAATCATTAGCATTAAAAAGTTGTGAAAATATTCTGATTTATTGTCACACTTGTTGAAATTGTTAGTATTTATAGAAAATTGGACTGTGTTATAGTCGCTAGTACTAAAAGGACGCTCGACAGATATACAACTTATAAGAAAAATGTTATTAGAAAATACGAGATCAAGAATATTCATTTTGAGCGTGGGTTCTTTAGCAAATTGGTGCAAACCAATTTTGTTTAATAAATTTAAGAATATACTATGACATGACGAATCTGAGTGAAAAAAAATAACGATTAACGTTCCTCAAGGATCCATTTTCAATCCCTTTACTTTTTGTGATATACATAAACGACCTACCAGATAACATTTCCAGCTATATAAAACTTTATGGAGACAACAGCAATATAATGAAAATAAGAAAAACACCAGCTGATGCCCTTTCTGTGCAAAACGATATTGACAAACCCGTAAAATGGACTAGAGATTGACACATGTTTTTTAATCTTGAAATGTAAGTTTATGCATGTAGGTCGCAAAAAAAATAAATCAACTCATAATTACACAATATTCGGCCATATCGGATTTTGTCATCAACTAAAATGTACTACAGTTGAGTGTGACCTTGGTATTTTTGTGTCAGATTATTTGAAATTAAAATCACAAGTAGATGCAGCAGCAGCAAAAGCAAATTGGAAATTAGGTGTGCAAAAAAAAGCATTCAGAGGACGTGGTGTATTCCTCTGGAAAATATTATACACTTCATATATTAGGCAATCGAAGCCTGGTCACTACACCTTATTAGCAATATCAAAAATTGGAGCAAATTTAAAATCGTGCAACAAAATTAATAAACTCCTTGAGACACCATAATTATGAACAAAGATAAGAAGCACATGGACTGACAATACAAGAAGCGAGGAGGAAAAGAGGGAATCATATACAACAATTCAAAATCAATCAAAACCTCGAAAAAGTAGATTTCCATGTACTACAACGTTACCCCTTTTCCAAATCAGCGTCATACAACCTAAGGCGGAACCACGAGTTTATGCTTCAACCGCAGTGAGTCAAAAACTGTAAAGAGAGACTCCACTTTTTTACAAATCTTGTTTGTGCATCATAGAATGCACTTTCCAGCAACACCATCAACTCAAATTATGTTAATATTTTCAAGTCAACATTGCAGCATCAGAACTAATATAATAATAATGTAATAAATAATAGAATTGTATAGATCAAATATGTCAGCATAGCACGGCCTGGCGCCAAGCTCCGTCAAATTTTATAACATTTTTTTTTAATTTGATTACTGAATAAACTTAAATAAACTAAACTACTATGAAACTTTTTGTTTGATAAAACATAGTTTAGCCAATCCATTTTAGGTAAGTTGAAGTCACCAACAATAATAATATGAGACACCGAGTAGCACAAATTATAAATGATTGAAATCATAAATTTAAGATAAGCAACATCCGTTATTATATAAAAAGGTGGACGATAGCAAGTTTTTAGACGGAATTTCTGAGATTCAAAAATCATATCAACACAGAATATAACAATATTAGAATCTGTTTGCTTAAGCTGTGCTTGTTCTAGCTTGCTGTCATTTCTACAGAAAATTGCGACTCCTGGGCCAGTTTTAATATGTTTAATACAGTCTTTGCAATAAATTGAATCTTTTGGACACTAAATAGCATAAGAAATTTATTATTGAAAAACGCAAATTACAGCAGATTTTGTGCCTCGGCATATGAGGGGATAGGGAATATGTATATATATTTTGATATATACATACATATATATATATATATATATATATATATATATATATATATATATATATATATATATATATATATATATATATATATATATATATATATATTTGCGTTTGTGATATATATTCAATAATAATAACAATTTCAACCAAGATAGCTCTATGTATGTTTTGTAGCGTCAATTACGTCAACATATTCAACGTAATTGACGCAACTGGTTAAGATAATCAAAGTTTTGTGTCTCTTTATTAAACATAAATATAAAATTCATAATTTTTAAAATGATGTAGCAATATTCAATCAATAATCTGTCTTATCTTATTTTTGTATCGGAGATAATGAGGGAGGTATCTGTTTCCGCTAGGAATTACAATTTTTTAGTTCATATTTTGTTAGTTAAAATGTTAGAACATTATAAAATTTTATAGTAATGTTTTTTAAAATTAACGCATAGACTGATAATTAAATTTCTACACCTTTTATTTGCCACGCATTTTTTAATGCAATTTCTTATTAAAAAAATTTACTTAAAGTTATTGCAAATAAAAATTTATATAACCTGCTTCTTTCATTTGTGTTGCACAATAAACTGAGTGTGTTTCGTCTTGTCTTATAACAGCAGTGCGGTTTATGCAAGTTGAACCAAGTAAAAAATCTCCTGACTTTTCCCGCCATACTTCGAAATCGCACCATGCGATCATAAAGTTTATGATAAATGAAGATTTAAAAAACATTTTTTTTTAATTAAAAAAACTGATCGCTTCTCTTGAAATAAATAGTTCTATTTAATTTTTTTCTCGTTTGTCAATTATATACTTCTTTGATTTTAACTTTATACAAGTCGTTTGAAACAAAAATTTTATCGATTCCATTTACTTCAGAGTTTTGTCAAGTATTTTTTACACTGTTGCTTAGAATATTAATGGAATGCAGAAGTTTAAGTTACATGTAAAACTTTAAAATTTCTCTTTTATAAATGTTGCAAAATGTCGCAAAAATCTCTTTTAAATATAATGCAAGTAATCTTTGAAGATTTTTTAGTTTATCTCTCTGACAATATTATATCTCTAATAATTTTGAACAGTTTACTTTTTATCCAGGAACATTTATATGCATTGGTTAACAGTATTGAAACAATATTGAAAAGCATCTTTAAAAAATCAGTTAATCTTTTTTTAATTCACTTTGAGGCTCTGTTTTAAATAATTCTCTGAATTATTAAAATCAATTGAATCAAAATAGCAACATACTATTTAGGTTTTTACAAAATTATAATCAAGAATCTACATGAATCGAGAAATGTTCAGCACTTTTCGTAACTAGTGAAAATACTTTTGTAAATAAAAATTCTATTTTATTTAGCTATTTGAAAAAATGATATCAGTTTGAGACGACCAAAGAATTTTTTTTACTAAATAAAAGAAAAAAAAAACAAAGTTTAAACTTTTTTTAAAAAACCCTATATATATACATACATATATATATATATATATATATATATATATATATATATATATATATATATATATATATATATATATATATATATATATATATATATATATATATATATAAATATATACATATATATATATATATATATATATATATATATATATATATATATATATATATATATATATATATATATATATATATATATATATATATATATATATATATATATATATATATATATATATATATATATATATACACAATTGCCTGCAACTATTCTAATTTAACATATACTAGAATTGACTTAATTTAAATCGCTTAATTTTTATTCACATTGACATTAAATAACTTGACTTATATATTATCGGTGAAAAAATAATCAATAATAGTATAATTATCAAATGAAAATATTTATATAATAATTATTAAACAACATTAATAATTAATACGCATTAGCATAAAGTATAATATTAATATAACTTGAACCGCGACATTAACTTATTGTTTAAGAAGTTATTTAAATAATATATTTATCAAAAATTAGATCTTCGGAGATTATCCGTTTAGTCACTATTAATTTATACAACTTTATATCAATCTATTGGAGTCCAAAAAAGGATACATGTACACTCCTCTTCCTCCATACCTATTTAATTCAGTTGATGTATGTAACTAGACTGATACTACGGCCATATAAGTCAATTTATGTATGCATTAATTATGATTATTGTGTGAAACATTGAAAAAATACAAATAATAAAAAATTATAGTTATAAATAAACAATAATATTAGTAAAAACATATAAAACAACTTTTGAATACATCAAAACACAAAGTACAAAACCATGTTCCTTAAAAATACAAAAACCATCAAAATCCAAAATACTGCATCCTTATAGAGAGTCATACCCTCAATACTTGTTAGCCGCGCCTCAAAATACAAGGAATTGATCATCCAGGGCTCTGCATTATTTTATTGAGACTGTAAAAAATAATTCAACATTTTTTGTATGAGCATTTTTGTGGGCTTTTTATTTGCACGCGCATAAAATTAATGACTTTCAAAGTAATGTTAAATAATAACAATTAAAATTTATATATATATATATAAAATACAATCATTAAGTGACATTTCTGATTATCAATTGAGTACTGTGGATTGTGTAAATGATCTTGGTATCATTTTTAGAAGCGATCTGAAATATGGTCATCATATATCTGCGTGTGTTTCTAAAGCAAATAGAATTTTAGGTCTTATCCGACACACGTTTTCATTTTTAAATGCTGATATGCTTAAATTGTAATATGATTCGCCTGTACGCCCTCATCTAGAATATGCGTCTTCTATTTGAAATCCATATTAAAAAAAAGACATTAATCTTATCAAAGGAGTTTAACATAGAGCAACAAGACTAGTTCCAGAATATTCAGAGCTTCTTTATGAGGAAAGATTAAATAGACTTAGTTTAACAACCTTATCTATGAGAAGAGAAAGAAGCGATTTAATTAACTTTTTTAAATGTCTTAATAATTCTTGTCAGCTAAATAGGGTATCTTACCTAAAAACTCTTGTTGACTAACTGGACCAGCTGGAAGTGTTCTTGACTATTTCCACAATCATAGATATACTTCTGAGACCTGTAAACACTTGAGTAGACGAAACTTTTTTTCATCAAACGGTAAATTGTTCCAATTTTAAACAATATACCGTTTGATGAACTTTATTATGTGAAAAATTTAAATTGTAGTTTTTAAACTTTCTGCTGAAGTAGATTACCACTCAGTGAGAATTTTTTCACCGCAAAAATTAAATAAATAAACTTATAAGTAGCTTAGAAAACTAAAAATATTATTGTATTTAAAACAACAACAACAAAAAAAATTATAGGGGATACAAATTTGTTGCGTAATTTTAGGGGATGGGGATCAGTAAACCATGACAATTTGTTACTAGGATAGGGGTGGGAGGGAAGAGGTCCAAAATTGTCAAAAATTGTGTAACGTTATTTAAGGACAACCCCTAATCTTGCAATCTTTAGTTAAAAATCTTGAATAAACTTTATTCTTTGTTTAAAAAAATGTGTTCTAATAATCTTTGTTACTATTTTTATTATTTCATTTATTTAACACTTAATGTAATTTACAAGGTTAAAAGAAAAATAAGAAAGTTATTTCTTGTGGTTTTCACTCAAGAATTTTTTCCTCCAGAGTTTGTTTAAAAATTCTTCTTTGTTCTTTGGCATTCCAGCACTCTACTTCAAAGTGTGTTCAACTTCGGAGCTATTTTTACCTTCTTTTTATTTTGAATTAAATTTTGAAAATTTAACATCCGAAAATAGCTTAGGTTCTGGATATCGCCAAAAAACGATAGTTGGAATAAAGGGTGTTTCAGTTGTGAAAATATAATGTCTTCAGTTGTTTTATTATTAGGAAGACTAAGGAACAAGTTTAATTTTTTTTTGTTGAATAATTTTTGAAATTTCCTGGATTTTAAATAGCGAATTTGTATAGTTCTTGCTATGTTTCGAAACATTTAAAAGCAATAAAATAAGGTAGGCACTAAAAATAATTGATATATATATATATATATATATATATATATATATATATATATATATATATATATATATATATATATATATATATATATATATATATATATATATATATGTGAAATAGAACGTGGGTGAGCAAACCGGATTCCTGATTGAATAAGAGTTTGAACAACAGATCTAAAGTTTGAGATTTTTTTATCAACATTCTTATAATTTAGTGAAGCAAAAATTGAATGTTTAGTATCCCATATGAATCCCAGATATCTAAGTTTATTCTGAAATAATTTTTTACTACTATAAATCGTTATCGTATTGGTTTGTATTTGTGGTTGACCTGAAATCAAGAACTAAGTTTTTTCGACATTAGTTTAAATTTAAATTACTGTGAATATTGCATATTTTTATCAGCTTTTTGAGACCAGAGAGGGTAGAGCTTAAAAGTGTGATATCATCCACATATGCTACCACATTAGTAAAGTTACCGTATATAAATGTGCCGACAATAACTTGATTTTTAATAGATTAAAGAGGACTTTCAGTGTAAATGTTATTGAGGTGAGGTGAAAGAATCAATCTTTGTTTTACTCCTTGCTTCAGAAAAATAGAGTTTGATTTACAACCTTGGTATGAGACTGTTGTATTACTACTGTTATATAACGAAGAAATAATGTTAACTATACAGAGTGGTAACTTTTAATCGAAATATAATTTATCAAATAGGATATCCCAGTTACAGCTATCAAAAGTTTTTTCTGCATCTAAAGAGCATAGGTACACAGGGGGATAGTTGCTGTTGTAATGTTTAATTGCTTCTTTAATTAGAAATTCAACATGTAGCGTTGAACAGTTAGCATCGAATCCAAATTGTAGGGGGTGAGTATTTCTAATATCCGGAAATATAAAAAGGATTAGGTATTCTTGAATTTGTGACGTGTTCTAATAATCTTTGTGATGTGTTCTATTATTAATAATCTTTAAACGTGTGCGTGTTCTAATAATCTCTTTAATCTTCAAACTTTTGGAAAAATTTTATTCATATGTATACATATTTATGTTGATAAAAAAATTATACATATATATATATATATATATATATATATATATATATATATATATATATATATATATATATATATATATATATATATATATATATATATATATATATATATATATATATATATATATTTATATATATATATATACATTCATATATATATATATATATATATATATATATATATATATATATATATATATATATATATATATATATATATATATATATATTTATATATATATATATATATATATATTTATATACATATATATATATATATATATATATATATATATATATATATATATATATATATATATATATATATATATATATATATATATATATATATATATATGATATATTAGTACGAAAAGATTATTTAATACGAGTTCTCTTAATACAATTAATAATTTATTATTAGAAATTTTTGCTGGATAATGGTTACCAACAATATACAACAAATTTTTTTGTAAAAAAATTTATTTTTCACACACAGCCCGTTATCTAAATTTATTCCACCAATGTTCACCTTTACATGGCGGAATTAATTTAGATAACGGGCAGTTTGTGAAAACTAAATTTTGGGCTGGAATAAAAATTTGGTATTTTTACGTAAGCAAGAAAGAAGCCATTAAACTGCTGATGTCATTTAATTTTAAACTGTTTCTAACGTTACAAAAAAATTTGATGTATATTTTTTACGAGCCGATGATGCTGGTAACCATAATTCAGCAAAAGTTTCTAATAATAAATTATTAATTGTATTAAGAGAATTCGTAGTAATTGATGTTTTCGTACTCATACTCTTATGCACGATGTCAACACTAAAGAAATATATATGATGTATGCGTATGTATACATATATAAGTTGATAAACAAATTTTATACATATATATGTTGATAGCATACACCTGGCTTATTTTTATATATACCATTAAAATCATTCTTTCGATTAAAACCAAAAACTCTGGTGTGTATTAGGTTTTAATGGTACATTTTAAAATAATTTTACATTTTTCCAGATGTACTAAATAACATACACTTCAATTTTAATACCCTTCAAATAAAACATTTATAGCACTTAGGTATAGCAATATAAAACATATAAACATGTAATTAATGAAACTTTTCACTAAAGTCGGGTTTCATAATAACGAATTTTTACGTTGAAGGTAAAAACACCTCACCATTGATCGGTAACAAAAGGTTTTGATTAAAAATAAACACAAAATAGTTACATGATTATAAATGTGACTAATTTATATTTATTATTTTAATAACAATTTTGTAATTTTATTTACATTTATTTTTGTTTTTGTTTTTATATTTGCTATTTAGTTTTATTATTTATTTTATAACTTTACTATTATTTATTACATTCTCAATGATGTTTAAGCAACTGCTTATTGTTAACAATTAAAATAATAATATTATAAGAATTTCATAAACTAGAAATCTATGTTTTAATTTTATTTGTCTATTTTTCCAAAATAATTTCCGATAGTTTGCTTTTCATCTCTCCTCGTTTTATGTCTCGATAACTTGTAGTATTACTTTTTTAAGTCTCGATAATTTTTAGTGTTGATACTTCTTTACGTTGTAATGATTGCTGATAACTGAAAATAAATTGTCTTTAAATTTGTCTTCATGGTCTCGTTTTAGTTTTTTTTTGAATAAAACTGATCGCTTTTTATTTTAATAGAAATTGTTAGAGATTGACCATCAATAGTAGAGATTACTGGTCTTCGCATCATAAATATTTAGCTCTATTTTTTTATCTACTATTTGTTTTATTTGCATTCTTTACATTTAAATATTTTTTTTCGTTATCTGCTTAAATTCGAATTAAAAACAAGGAGTTTATTCTACTTTGTGTGCAGTTAAAGCTTCCGTTTGAAAAATATTATCAAATTTTCCCCTAATTCGACCAGGAGATCTTGGAAGTGTATTAAAATGCTTCTGTATTTCAACACTTAAGTCGACTGATTCAATAAAAGGATTATTTTTTCCAAAGCTGTCGTCATATTGAACGGTGACGTCATTAGTTTTATCGTTGGTATTGCCATTATTTGTATTTGTAGCATCAACTGCTGGCGAAATAACCTAAAAATCAAAAGTATCGAATCAATATATATTTAACAATACATCGCCATGGTAACGTGTACTTAGTAAAGTAATAGAACTTAGAGTTTATTAATAAATTACTTAATAATTTATTTACTCGCTTAATCATACATTTTGTTATTACTTGTTATTAATAAAGATGTTTCATGCTATAATTAGAGACTATATATTTATGTTATGCAGAAGTACGTATGTCTTATGCAATACTTAAATACTATATATTTATACTATATAGAAATACTAAACATTCGCACTACTTCTCAATTCTTAACATTTCAGGAATAATACTCTTAAAAATAGTTATCATTATGAAAAATAATAATACACTTTGAACGTGGAAAACAGGGGCAATCAATAAAGTGCAATAAAAGCGTAGAATATATGCTTTGAGGCAGTTACTTAACCCCTACCCCACAGTTTAGTATGCTTTCTCCTTTCGGAATTTTTTTTCTTCTTAAAAATTTAGAGAGTTTCTATAAAAACGTTTTTTTACATAAATTTATCTCGAAAAAACTTTAAAAAACTTATTTTTTAATTTTAGTTTTATTTTTCTTCAGTCATTCACTACAAATCTTCTGTTAGCCTCACAAACTGAGTGATCCCTGCAAAAAAAAAAGTCAAGTTCTTGTCAATATTATCTGTCTCGCAGGGAATAAAAACATCAATGGACATAAAACAAAAAAAAAACCTTATGCTCATCATATGCCTTGTTATTATAATTAAAATAACTGTACATATTCATTCTTCAGAGACTTTTTGTTTCTAGAGAATTAACGTTGTTTTAGTACATTGAAGTAGATTTTTCAAATAATTTTCATTTAAGATCTGAATCATTCTTAAAAAAATATTCTCTCTTTTTCAGAGGCTAAACAGCATAAAGTAACAAGATAGTGAAAAAATATTAATCCTTTAAAATAAATCTAAATGCTTTAACTTAAATGGTTCAAATGTTTGAAAAAATCCACCAAAAATTTAAAGATATTTTTTTTCCCCGGAAAACTCTATTTAGCTTAAGCTGCAGTTTATAGATGAAAATTTTTTTTTCATCTACTTTAAAAAAGTAGATGAAAAAAAATGCAGCAAAAGAACTCTTTTTCATCAAAACTGTTACTTGCCTCTGAAAAATAGTCTTAATTTTCAAATAGTTAAAAAGTATAGGATGTCGAATACAGTAAATATATATATATATATATATATATATATATATATATATATATATATATATATATATATATATATATATATATATATATATATATATATATATATATATATATATATATATATATATATATATATTATATATATATATATATATATATATATATATATATATATATATATATATATATATATATATATATATATATATATATATATATATATATATATAGATACATATATATATATATATATATATATATATATATATATATATATATATATATATATATATATATATATATATATATATATATATATATATACATATATAACGATTATGTTCGTTACGATGTCTTTCCCTTTCACATAAGAAAAGTTTTACAATCCCTTATTAATGAAACGGGAGATACAATCTTTTAAGTATCCAAAACTTGTCCAATTCGCCAGGAGAACATTGGCAATTCCAGCAGCTTCTTCCAGCTCTGAACGAGTGTTTTCCACAGTTGGAAATATCTGTGGTGACAGGAGAACCAATCTGTCTGCGTCTAAAGTTGAAATATTTTTTTGGATAAAGGAAAACTTAAGACAGATGAAGAAAATGAATGGTGTGAACAATTTTTAATCAGACAAACTTCCGGAAAAAAAAATTTCTTTTTAATTTTTATAAAACTTCTTTGCCATTATTGAAGATGATTAATAACAAATAACAATAACTAAACAAATGTTTGTTTTTAAATCTAGTTGTTTTATATTTTATTTTTGTTCTTTCGATGCATTATTTAACGATCCAGTTTTTCGATGCATCGTGTAACGATAAATCGTTTGATGCATCGTGTTCGATGCATCGCACACGATTAATCGTTCGATGGATCGTGTTCGATGCATCGACGTATTTGACGATGTCAAATGATACATCGCCGCTCCCTGTAAACTAGATAAATAAGTTCTCGTTCCGGCTGGAATTTTTTCAGCAATTGCGGCAAATCAACATTTTTAATCCGGTACCCCTAATAGTAATAGAAAATTTCACGGAATAAAAACCATTTTTGGCACGTGTTATTCTTTTTGTTTTAAAAGATTTTATACACGTAACGGTAACCAAATACTAATTTTTTCTGCGTTTTGCCGGCTTAGACTACATTGTTTGAACAAATTTCATTACTACTCACATCTTTATAGTTAAATCATATAACTAGTTAAGTCATATAACTAATAAATAGAAATTTTAAAAATATGGTGTTTGAATAAAACTTGAATTTTTATATTGATTTTTACTGCATTTGCATTGCCCAACATGCTACGTTTGAAAAATCATTTTACTATTTTGTTTTTAATCAGAAACGCGTGTTTTCTTTAATTAAACTAGACACAAAGAATAATAAAAAGTATATTCAATTTCAAAGTTTTATGCTTATAATATATATAATATCCTTATCAGTTCTGTCTTTCCTAAACTGGGAGAAATTTCTTTCTTGAAATATCCTGAGCTCTACGCCTATAATTAGAATGGAGTAAAAAAAAGTTAGTTGCTCATGATCAAAGCTCTTTATAAGTCCCTGAGGTTGTTCGAAACTGTTTTGTTTTTTTTTGTTGTTTAAGATAATTGAACTAATCTAAAAAAGAGATGACAAGTTTTAATGAAAGAAAAAGAAATGGAAAGGAAATTGTAGTTAGCAAGAAAAAAATAAGAGTCTGAAAAAGCCGCAGAATGCTGTTTTTTTTTGAGGATGATTCAAACCTTAATGAAAAAAAAGAATTGAAAAAATTCACTTTAATGTAATTCTTTGAAAAAAAATTAATTCTGATATATGGATATGAGTAATGTGAAGCCATACTTCACATATTTTCTGCCTGTTGAATTATACATCTTTTACTAGACCGTATAAAAGCAGTTTTAACATCTGCCATTTCTTATTTAATGGCGAGAAATAAGTTATTTTTTTGAACCTATAAAAAAAATGTAGATTTGCTATCTTGAACAGTTAGAATAAAATTATACTGGTTTGTATGCTGCATTATAATAAATTATCTTTAAAAAAAATAATTGCTGAATTATATATTTCAAAGTATATTAAGGCACAATTTAATTAAAAGTACTTTTACTGATACCTTTAAAGAGGCGCTAATCTTTTATTAATCTTAAAGTTTAGACGTTTTGACTTTTATAACATTAAATAAAAATCTTAACGAATTTTTTTAAAATGTCAATTGAACCAGCAACCAACCAACCAACATTTATAAACTGTTACTCAAGACAACCTTTGACAAAATCTAGTAGGAAAATGTTTGCCACAACGTAGAGCTTTCTATTAAAGAAAGTATTGTTATTTTTTCTTTTTCTTTTTTCTCTACATGAGTAATCAAACATTTACTTTTGATGTATTTAAACATTTTTATATTTTAAATGATAATTTTAAACATAGTTTAACATATTTGAAAATTCTGAATATATTTTCAGATATGTTGTAAAATTGCTTCTGAATTACTGTATAGACAGATCACCTGGTAACACTATTAAGAATGCTAAAAAATATGTAAAACATATAAATAGCAAAGCCACGCAATAAGATTAAAGGACTTATTTTTTCCATTTGAAATCTTTAATTTTTTTTTATATCAAGTCTTGATAAAGAAATAGTTTTTAAAAATTTGGTTTAACGAAATGAAACATTGTCTACCTTTTAAATATTGTCTACCTTTGAAATATTGTCTACCTTTTAAAGTTATGAAATAAATATTTTGCAATATACTTAAAGAAATTTTTAACGCTTTGCTATTTATCATCGGTTCTTATATTAGTATCCGTCTAAATAGTATTTAGATACCCGCATCAAATGCGTTGATTAATTTCGATTTGTATAAAAAGTTGAAAAAGCATTTGGAAAGAAAGTTAAATATATGTGGAGTAATGAACTTACCATGACCTGTATATTTCCACACCGACGGTTTCTATTCTTATTCTTTATACTATTGTTTTATTTCAATAATTTTTAGTAAGTGGTAAAAAATAAAAAATCATAAAAATTTTGACTTTGAATTTACGATTAACATTCAATACTTTATAATTTTCTATTGTAAAATTTTAAACTCTATAGAAAAAAACAGCGTTTCTATTATGTTTTTATTAAATTTTTTTTTCAGGCCACCCGGAGCTCATTAGGACCCTCGCCCCGTTAATTAATTATAAAGAAAATAAAAGTTTAATGTAAAATCTTTTTTTCCTACAAGAAAGATAGTTGTCTCTTTAATGTGTTAAACAGGTATACTTTAATGTGTTAAACAGGTAGACTTAACTTATATGTCTATTTAATGTGTTAAACAGGTAGACTTAACTTATGTGTCTCTTTAATGTGTTATTCAGGTAGACTTAACTTATTACCTAAGCAAATTAATACTATAAGTATCTGTATTATGACTTGCAACATATTTCTCCTGACGTTTTGATGTTTTTTGAAATTTTAAGCTTTTTAAAAGATTCTCTTCTCTTCATATGTTATAGTATATAACATCTTTATATATGTTAAGCATATATACGAGCTGTAGAACTTAAAAATGTTTTTGTTTTGTAATTTATAAATTTTTAAATGATTTTAAAAAAAATTAAATATGCTAGAGAAAGGATTTGAAACCGCGCGATTCACTTTCGAAGCGCAGCGAGCTAACCTTTTCGGTTACTCAGGAATACTTTACTTAAGGTTTTTAACATTATTTATTATTAATATTAGCAAAAAAACTATAATTTTGTAAAACAGGAAATAAAATAAAGTTAAGAAGATATTTTTAAGTAAAAGTAAAACTTGATATAATTTTTAACATTAAATAATTTAAAACTTTTACATGATTTAGATATTTGCACACATTAACGTTCACATTTTTCTATTAATAATATCGGTAAGGAAGGAGGTTCAAGCCTCCCTCCTTACCGATATTATAAAACTTGCCCAGTGGTGTTGAACCACGGATCTCTAGCCTAGGAAGCAAGCGCGCTAACCACTGCGCTAAGTCTTCTCAAATATATAACAGATAAAATTTAAACTAAATTACTGCATATCAACACCTTGATTTTGATTTGGTATAAGCATGAACAGAACATTGAATACTTTTAGGTTAGTTGATTATTTAAACCGTTTTTATAAAAAAACATAAATGTTGATAACTTCTCATAGTCATAACTTCTAAACGTTAAAAGATAAAATTTAAAGCCTGTCGATAAAATTAAATTTACTATAACTTAGTAAAAAAAGTGTTCTAATAACTTATTGCATACATGTTTGGGCGGGGAATGCAAATTTTTATCAGTAATTTTGTTTTCAGGCTCCAATTGGATATAATTCTTTTTTTCAGATCTGTAACATCAAAAAAACTCTGCATACGCTACTGTAAATATCAACTATCTAAAACAAAATTAGGGTTTCAACTTTTCTAAAGAAAGTTTATATTTATCAACAAGATATTGCTCATCTTTATTAAGAATACATTTTTATCCAGAATAAAATGTACAACCATTATCTTTAACACGAAGACATCATTTAGGTTTATCAAGAAGATAGCATTTATCTTCATCAAGAAAACATATTTATCCAGAATAAAATGTATATTGACGACAAAGAAAGTTGAGGAAGAGTTCATGTTAAGTGAACTCCTATCAACTCTTTGTCGGCGTACATTAGTTGGGTGAACCTAGCTAACAGTACGTTTTAGCACCTTCTAACATCGGGTGCAACTCTGCCTGCTTTCTCTATGCTATCTCTCTAACTCGACTACTTCTGCCTTTCACTCTAACATATCTTCGTTCTTCCCAAACTCACTTTACCTTGGTCCGTAAAGCGGGTTATGACGCTCCTTGGGGGGCCGAACTTGTCTTTACGGGCCTTGGTAATGTGGCCTCTATATGTGGCCTATCTAATTAGTCGGAGGAGGATAAACCACAATACCAGAATAAAATGTATAATCATTAAAAAAATTACCCTAAAAAAAGTTATCATTAAAAAATATATCCTTGAAGATAATCTCTCTCTTTTAAAAATATTTCTAAAAGTCCTACGTTTCGAAAAGTCTTAACTTAAAAGAAATTCCGTTACAACTCTGAAGACCTCGAGGAAAATAATTTGTCATCGTCAATAATTGGTCGTTCTGATGCCAATATTTTTACAACATAAAATAAAAATTGTTCTAAATTGAAACAACAAAATACTCCACGAATAACAGAACTTTTTTATTTGTTACCATGTTTAAGGTTTACGTAACGCGTGTTTAAATGAAATAAAACTCTTTATTTTGATCAATTGATGCATATCTTTTTAGTTATAACTGTCGTTTGTCAAAACTTTTATATTTTTGGCTCATCAACTGTTCATTAAATGGTTTTATTTGAATCAATAAAAAAATTTCATTAAAGTTTACATTGAGTTTTATATAGAAAAATTACGCTGAAGTAAAAAACAGATACTATTAACGAATTTTGTTATCTTATTTAAGAATCAAATCAATACGCCATAACTTATCATCACTAAATACTAAATTGTATTCTAATATACTACAAAGTAATAATAAACAATAAAAAAAAACATACCGCTATTTCGACAAAGCTTTTTGGACTTGCAGCTTTTCTAGTAAAATAAAAACAAATTAAAAGCAGCATTTATAGGAATGAATATAAAAATATAAATATATGAACAAATAAACGATACGCAAAAAAAGTAACTGTAGGCACTATGCGTTACAAAACTTCTTAAGATAAACTCACTTAGATTTTCTCCTTCGAACATAAAATATTAAAATTCCTACAACTAATAAGACCAACGTTCCAATTATAACTCCTATAATTATTGATCCGTTTGTTCCCAGTACCATTTTTAAAACTATATTTGATACTCATGAATTTCGTTTTCGGATCGGAAAAAAAATCAAGTTAATTTTTTTCAAACTTTGTTGTAGATGAAAAAACATCTTGTTAAAACTTATAACTTGGCGAATCATACGCAGATAAAACGTCGTTAATTTTTCGGATTATCTATTCTGTAACAAAATTTAACATGTCTTTTTTTTTGTTATGACAACGCGGCAACGAATTTAATTCAAATATTGAAATATCTGCTTTATGTACACGGTGCAAAAGTTAAAATTTTGTACAAGTTTATTTTTAAAATTTTTCCTTTCTTAAAAGATTATTGGAATTGATAAAACTCTTTTCGTTGTCAAGCTCATAATTGATTACTATGGATATCAACCGACTTAAAGGGATTGCAAGTAAACTTGCTTGGATAAGCATGGAACTGCGTTAAAACTTTCAGAAAAATGTTTTCTAATGTTCATTCATTATGATAAAACAAATTGTATTACGCAACGATTAATATTAATATGACTTTATGCTTTAATAGGACGTTACAATGCATCAATTTAAATTCGTTTTAATTGATTTTTTTGTTAAATTGCAACAGATAAATACTTATTTAAAATAGCAAACATTTAAGTATTTAAAAATATATTGAACATTACTATATATAAATATTTTATATTTTTATGGTAGGGCGGGGCAAGTTGAGCAATTTACTTAATGCAACAGATCTCTTATTGGATTTATTTAATTTTTTTACAATTAGAAAAATAGTTTAATCTGCTAAAAAGTACTTAAAAAACAAGTTTCTTTACAGATTAACTGTGGAAAATGTTTCCTAAATATTAGATTTAGAGCTTTTAATTACTAAACATTTATAACATAAAAAAAGAAGATAAAGTTAAAATATAAAATTTAAAACGCGACTTCCTAAAACTCTCACGTGACTTTTTCTATACTAATTAAATTTTATGTAAACAAATAAAAAGTTATTATGCATACAAAATTGTAAGTTTTTGTTGTTATAGACCTTTTCAAAATAAACTTCCTAAAAACTCAAAAGAGGCTAGAGTTTTACCGTTGATATACAAACCAAATGGCTTCTAATAAAAAAAAATCTTCTGAAAAACATTGTGCTGCCTTTAATTGCTATAATCGAAGAAAATTTGAAAAATCAATTTGAATTTTTCAAATTTTTTTCTTTAAAGTTGTCATTCTTAAAAATATTATGCATGTATACAAACATAGCAACATTAGCAATTTTTGCTATTATTATATAGCTAAGAACTACAAACTCTTTTTCAGACTGTTTTTTTAGCTTTAATAATAGTCTTGAATAATACTTCAACTAGTGAGCTTTCTATTTATTTATATGGTAAGTATGATGTCCTAAGGTTTTCAAGCAAAGTACAATAATGAAGATATTGTATTAAAACTCACTTTAAAAAAAAGATTGCTAAGAGGGTGTAGAAATCCTCATTACTGATGTATTTATTTCTCATGAAGTTAATTAGCTCTTCAAAACATTTTTCAAACAAGTTTTGGTATCTGTAAAAGTTAACATTAAACACATACTTATCTTGGTTATACACAAACCAAATTATGCTAATTTAATATAATATGTCGCTAAATCATTCAAATTAGCTCATAACTTAATTAGGAAGTCCTATGATGGCTGTCTCGTTGTCAGTTGTTTTAACATATTACATTTCCTACGTCCAGACACCCTCTGGTTGCTCAAATCATATGTTTGACTTGTTATTTACCTAGAGCAGTAATTCCAAATTAAAATTATTTTCTAATGCTATATTTGGTTAAAATACTGAGGGCTGCTTTAGTATAATTTAAGGAACTTAAGTTTTAAAACCATTTCCAGAAAGTGAATCTCAGTTGTTTAGTTACAGCAAGGTGATTACAATTCAATATCAAATTTTATTGCATTAATCAAAGGAATATTTTGTCCACAACGTTAATAAAACAAACAAAACTTAGGATCCTTGAGTTACTCCACATTTTAAAATCCTTATCCGAACGAAAAACTATGCTTGTGTATCAACTACTCAACTAAATGGAAGAATAATAAACTTAAAATAAACTACAGTTTACTTAATGGTTCCGTCAAAGCTTAAATATTTAAAGCAAAAAGAGCACATATAAAAGAAATAATATTAAAATCCCTCTGAATAATTTCCATCGATAAAAAAGTGATACTAACTTCGATAAAAAAGTGATACTAACCTAAATAAACTTATAATGACAACTTGGGTTTTTCTATTTCAGACAGTATTAACTTACCAATCTAAACCCCTATAAATAATTTTTTCATATACAAAAATTATTTATAAATTCTTTAACTTCTAGAATACTACTTTAATTTCTAGAATACAAGTTAAAATTTGCTACAATTTAGCAAACTTTAACGTGGTCTGTTAAAAAATGGAAGATAAATTACTTGCTGAAAAGTATCGACCTAATTTACTAAAACCTGTCACTCGCAAAATTGTCAAAATGCTTGTTAAGAACATAATTTTTAAACACATTAACAATAATAAAATGTCTTCATCATGCAAATCATCATGGCTTTCTTGACCATAAATTAAGCGTGACTAATGTAATAGATACTTTTGTTATTACTTGATTTTCTACAGTATTTCACCAATTTATTGATATAATCTCGATTTCGCCAAAGCGTTGATTCTCTACCTCAAAACAGACTTATGTTAAAATTAGGATATTTCGGAATAAATAGGAAACAAAATAAAAAGTTATAATAAATCAATCCCTAAAAAGCTCTACTAAAATGCGTAATTATTTTAGTAGAGTCATTGTTTAATGTAACGCCATATGGAGCACACATTTTCGAACAGTTGTTTCAAAGTTCTTACAAATTCTTGGTATGCAAAAAACATTCATTTTCATTGATAAAAATTCTCAAGTTATATAAAGTTTTTATTAGACCACTCCATAATTAACATCTAATGACTAAAAAATGAGACAACTTTAAAATTGTTATTATAGCCATAGTAACATAGCTATCAAATTTAATTTAACATAAATTTATAAACAATTATATGATTTCTAAAATAATATATTTATTGGTTTTGAATTACACCATTAAAAGCAGTTCCACCTAGACAAAATAAAGTCATTGAGGCAAAACGTTTTGCCACTTCTGGATCCATTTTGTTAAGACAATTCACGATACGCCGTTTGAGTTGAGAAATGCTTGTTGCTTGCCAATTATCCTTGTAGACTAAGCGTTTTAACTGACCCCAAAATTCCTCAATTGGTTGAGATTCTGGTACATTGGGTGGATTTTTTACCTTTAGCAGGTATTTGATGTTATTGGCATTAAGAAAAGAAACCACTTCATTTGCATAATGCGAGCTAGCTAAATCTGGCCAGAACAAGTTCTCTTCATTTTTATAATGTTTATCAATGAAGGGTATTAACCGATTGCGGAGACATCCGATGTATGCTTGTAAGTTGATTGCCTGGTCACTTTCAAGAAACATTGGTTTTGAAGTCCCTTTGGACGATATAACCAAAGAGACTAGCACTTTTTCCTCTTACTTCTTCTTTCTTTTGAGTTTGACGTCGCTAGTTGTAGATGACACGTCGCTAGAATAGAAGCCATCGTTGCCAGCCTTTGTTGTATTTGCATATGTGAAATATATGTCGTCATCCAAGACAAAATCAAAATTCCTAAAATTGCGATATATATGCCGACACTAAGGTTTGATTAGAGCTAGTTGGCTTTCGCTTCAATGTGTTATCTTTTTCTTCTTGTAGTATCTAATATTCGCCTTGTTTTAAAAATTTTTTTACAATTTGTCATAATTGAATCTTCGAGCTACTTGACATTGCCAAACACCGTGATGAAGATCAAATGCATTTTTCAATTAGTCTATGTGCTTTTTGTCCTTTTTTTTTGCGTTTAAACTGCTTTCTTTTTTACATTGATAGCCTAAATTATTGTCTACACGTTCTAGAGCACAATTTATGGTCGCTTTTGATGCTCCTTCATCTAGAAAGTGGTTTACTGTAAACATTTTTGGCTTTTCCAAATGCGAATTTCTAAATTGTCAAATGCGTTTTCTTAGGTCTTCTTGCAAACATGTTTTATACAGAGCTATTTTAATTAACATTTTTAATTCAATTTTAATAGAGTATTAATTTCCTATAAATATAATAATTTGTTTCAATTGCATGATTATGAATTTGTTGAATTATGAATTTTGCTTGAATTTTGTCTCATCTTTTAGTCATCAGGTGTTATGCAGTGATTATTTGGATTTCTTATTTAAAAAACTGATAAAACCTTGGTTGAATCTATTCAACGCAAAGCGACAAAATGGACTTCCAGCTTAATCTTTATTAATGCGTAATTATAAGATTAAATTTACCATCATTAACTTATTGCTTTCGTTGGGGGCAGCGATAAACTTAGGGTTAGGAGAAACTTTCTGATCATTCATACTAGTGTTTTAAGCCAGAGGAATTTAAAAAGCTGCTGAAATTACTAAATGCTATTTACGAAAAGTTGCTAAATTATTTCTTCAAAGTTGGAATAACTTTAAAGCTAGTGGAAACCATAGGCTTTTAGACAATTCCACCCAAAAAAAATGTTTCAAATAGCTAAGTTGATCTTAGAAACAAGTAATTGCTTAAAAAGGGAATTGTTCGTCAACACCAAGAAACTGTTTTATTTTTAAAATAAAACAGTTTCAAAATGAAAGCAACAAAAAGAAATCAACAATGGCAAACGAAGGCAATAGAATTATTGATATTACACAGAACTTACTAATAGACAATAATTTAGTGCAGTTTTTATACTTCTTGATTCCGGAGAAAATGGAAAATAAATTTTTTTAAAGAATAGCAAGCATTTACAAGAGAATAAAAGTAGAAGAAAATTGAATTTACTATTATAAGCAAACTCTAGCAGAATAAGGAAAAAATAATTTTTCACGTAATTTTTTATTTTCCTGCATGTAAAGGACTTATGAGTAATACTATTATAACTTGGTTGAACTTTATATAGATAACGCTGTTTAGCCTAAGCTAATGTCCTTTATTAAACTAGATATAAATTAAATATGCCTCAGTCAGAATATCATCAATTGTGCGGGTTTAAAAGTAGTTGTGCTTCATCAATTAATAACAATTAAAAATTTTAATAATAATAATTACACTGCTGTAAAGGTTTTATTTGGCACTACCCAAG